ACTTGCAGGCCTTGTAAAGCAGCCTAGAATCCCATGAGATGCTGGGGCTGTACCATGGCAGTGAGTGAGGCAGATGTGGTGGGAGATGAACCCACACAGAACAAACTGATGCACACTAGGTGAGAACACATTTAAGTCCCTGCTGCCAGTACCACAAGGTTCAGAGGAGTCTGAGGAAGAGCCTAAGGCTTCAGTAGGATCCATGTTGGGTATCAAGGTCTCCATGGATACACCAGAGCCATGTGTTGTTTCTGGAATTACCTGTGACATCAGCTCAAAGCTGCACCTCACAGCCTTGTTAGCATAATCACTATGACAGCAGGCCTAGTTCTTGTCAACAAAGGTGAGCATCAGTGATTACAGAGCAGGTACAATTTCCCACTGCCCTTTGCCTCTCTGTGGTTGGAAAGGAAGACCCAGGGCCTTTGTGCAATGCTCTTCCCATGCATCTGACAATCGCAGTCAATTTGGAGAGTGTAATAGCAATATCTTTTGGATGCTTCAAACAGGGAAATGGAGGTGAGCGACTAGAACTGAATTGACAAACTGTTGGACAAAGTGGCTGGAGAGATGGCTCCACTGTTGGGAGCTCAAGCTGCTGCTCTTCCTGAGGACCTAAGGTCAGTTCCCAGCATCCACATCAGGAAGTTTCCAGGGGATGGTGCCTTCTGACCTCTTTAAGTAACCAAATACAAACACATGAAAAAATTAAATAAAAATTTTAAACTGTTATGTATTTCTTTTGGTCAGAAGCCTTGGATATATATTACCAAGAGGCCAAGGCCATTTATAAACACAAAAAGTGTGTGGGAAGGTCTGCTTAGAGGGTGCTAGATCAAAAGATGAAAGGGTACCAGACTCCTAAGTGTCCGTCTGTGTGGAGAAAGTCACTTACCCTGGAAGAACTCCCACACTGGATTGCTACAATAATAAACTTTTGTTGCATTAACTCTATGGAGTTTGTTATCGCAGACAGCATTACCTTAAATGATGCCCAGAGCATGTGGGAATCTTTTCCTGAGGCCACAGGTAGTGACAGCAGATAACACACAATCCCTGACAGTAATGAGCCAAACCACATCCCCCTGGGAGCCAATAAGTCAAGAGAAGGACTCTTTAAACACATCCCTATCAAATACTCGGTCAAGTCATAGCTCCCCACCCCTTCCGAACTAAGACTGATGTCAAGGAAAAGGAGAAGGTGGACAGGGCAGAGGAGGCTAAATACTTGGCTTGTTCTAGCTCCCTTTCTGCGACTCCGATAAAACGCCCTAACCAAGAGCCACTTGGAGAGGAGAGGGTTTATGTGCTTACACTTATAGGCCACCCTCCGTCACTAGGACAAGCCAAGGGAGGGCCTCAGAGTAAGAATCTGGAAGAAAGGACTGGAGGGATGCTGCTTGATGGCTCGCTGGTGCGCCTCCTCAGCTGGCTTCCTTACATAGCCTGGAACCATGTTTCCAGGGAATTATACCACTCACAGTGGCCTGAACCTTTCCATGTCAACAAGACAGTCCCTTATAGACCAACAGGGCAAAGTCAACTAAGACTCTCTTGTCAACTCTGTATCAAATCGACAGTTAATCTAACTAGGGTAGAACCAAATGGGATTACGTAATCATACATTAGAAGCAGAGGGTAAATCGGATGGGGCTTGTGTTGAGTTTGCTTTTGGTTTTAACTAGGTCCCACCAGCCCAGGCTGGCCTTGAATTCATCAGCCTCCAGCTCCAACCTCTTGAATGCTGAAACTATTGTCCCTTCCCACTCCCCTTTGCTGTAGTGATGGTCCAGCTGACATGGGGTTGTCTGACCACTGGGTCAGGAGCGTGAGGCCCTGTGGTACCACATGCTCATTAGCCATTTCCTTAGTGCACAGGTGTTACCAGGAAAATCAGGATCCTATCATGAGGTCTTATGCGGCAGGAAGGACAGGTAAGCACGCTACACCTAATAACTTGAGTTCAATTCCAAGCTCCTATATGGTGGAAGGAAAAAAAAAAAAAAAAAAAAAAAAACTCCTGAAGGTTACCTTCTGATGTCTGCATGTGTGTTATAGCATATTCACACCTGTCAAAATGAAATAAATACATGCAATATTTTAAAATTTAAAAACAAATGCAATTTCTAACCCTACACACACCAAAAACAAACAAACAATCAAACAAACAAAAAAACCACTTTAAAAGTGGGCTCAGAATGAATCTCAAGGAGTGTTTTTATCTTGTTTGTTTGTTTGTTTTTAGATTTCAAAAGAAGAACACCAAGGCAGGGCGGGCAAGCGAGCTAAGTCTCAGTGGCTGCTAGGAGGAGGTAGAAGAGGTTGGCTTTTTTTTGAAGGCCAGTGTGTTCAGCAGTCGAGGAAATGCATGCGGGTTGGACGACAGACAGTGACGAGGCCCGAGTATCAGGGAAAGCGTGGGCCAGTATCCACAAGGAGAAAAGGAAGGGGGAGGAAAATAAGTTTTATTCTGTGTTATTGGCATTCAGAGGGGTGTGGTGCAAGCTCTGCAGGAGTGGCAGGTGAGGGGCTTTCGGGAGGGACAAGTCAGGGGATAATTATTCCTCCCATTGCTTCAGTCCATCTCTAGGTAAATTACTTTTCCCGAGGGTCAGTCCCCAGGCCAGGTGGTTGACAGGCCCAGCTGCTGACAGCAGGATTTGATGTTCTAATCTTTGGAGCAGAGATGAATGTCATGTCTCCACCCAGGGCTAGAGGCAGAGCTCAGATTCCATTCTTTAGGAGAGGAGGAGGCAACGTCCCCCTAAGGACCTCTATGATACCACTGCTTTTTCTAAATCCTAAGGAGGGGTAGTGATGTTTTTCCTTTCTGGTGTTTACAGGGGAATGGGAGACTGGGATGGGATTGAGGGGGGGGCAATCCATCAGATAGTTGGGGACTGTCTCCTGCTCTGGCTCCTCTTCTGAAGCTAGTTTGTGGTGTTGTTGGCGATTGAACACAGGTCTTCACTCATGCTAGGCAAGCTCTCTAACACTGAGCCACACCCTACTCCCCTTTCCTGGGGAAACCTTTAAATGACCAGGGAGAGGTTTTCAAAGTCCATTTCAGTGAAACTAACACCAATCTCCAGGGACTGGGATTTTTCTTAGAATCTCATGCTGCAACAAGGGCAGGATGGAAGCCCGGTGCTGGTCAGGATGGCGTAGGGGGACACACTTGTACCCCAAGATTCCACGTTTGGGGCAACTTACAGGAGAGGGTGGCACTAGACAATAATGGGTCAGTGACGGGCAGGACCACACCTCGGCCAGGACTGCTTGGCCTCTTTTTAAACCTAAAGCTCGGGGCAGGTCCCTGGCAAAGCACTTGGGGTAACCGGATCTCTGCTCGTCTTCCCAACGTGGCCACACTGGATGAATCGCCGCCATTTTCCACTTTTTGTCTCTTTCGTTAGTGTGGTAGGGATGGGTTGCAATTTGCTCGCCCACTGCCGTGGTAAAATACTGATGGGGGGGGGGTGGTTATTTCACGTTTTAGTCCATCATTTTGGGAAGGCAGAACGGGAACCCAAAGGCAGGAACTGAAGCACAGACCACAGAAGAACAATGCTCATCTTCCTTATGTGGCTCAGGTCCACCCTCTTAGGGACGGCACTGACCCCAGAACTAGGCCCTCTATAGCAATTAGCAATCAGACAACCCCTCCCCCACCACACACACACAAACATGCCTGCAGTCCAACTCCATGGAGGCTGTACCTCAAATGCTGCTTCCGGGATGGGTCAAGTTGACAACACATCACAGGGTGTGTGGCTGAGGTTAGCCTGTTGGAGCTGTTGGATCCCTGGGTTTTGCCCTGTCCATTTCAGTTACAATTTTAAATCAATATCCTTGGGTTTTTAACTTAGACTTTGCTGTCGTCGCCATTCTTCATATTTGAAACCTCCACAGTCTAAATGTGTCACAATGTACCACAACTTACATCAACAGAGATCAGCCAGGGGTAGTATTTCAGCTAGGGGAACACTGGACAACATCTGGAGGTTTTTTTTTTTTTTTTTTAATGATCACGTTCGAGGCTTTGGACAGACATACACACACACACACACACACACACCAATGAAATAACTGGGCCAGAATTTCAATAGCGATGAGCTTGGGAAAATCCAGTCCAATTAATTTGCATATATGAATAATCACTTCCTCGACTAAAATGGGGTTCTGTAAGGACAAAGCTGTCATATAGGGTTCTATCCTGGTACACTGAAGTCAATAAATATGCAGCCAGCAAATCATCAGATGGGCAAACCCAGCTGCCATTATGCACCTTCAGAGAGTCATCTCCAAACAGTTGGCTCCTTGGATCGGGAAGGTCAGTAAGGTCATAGAGGCAGGGCTGTGGAGACACACCTGGGTTATTTGGGGTGACACAACTTCACCAGTATACACCAGGGACCCAAAGGTTCAGTTTGCCTTTGTTTTTATTTTCTGTACACTCCCTGCAATGTCCTCAGCTTCTCCCTCTATTAAATATTAACAAACAACATTGTGATGTGTACTCCATACCACACGCGTCATTTCTAACAATTACTAACATACTTATTCCTCTAACAAAGGTATTCTTTCATCGGTATTATTCCTTTAGTGTTTATTTATTTACCTGGTGGTTTTGTTGTTGTTTGTTTTTGCTTTGGGGAAACAAAGTCACATTCTGTAGCCCAGACTGACCTCAGACTTTCAGCAATCCTCCTGCCTCGGCTTCTGGAATGCTGGGATTACAAACCTTACTATAGGAGCTTGCTTTTAACTGTCGTAACTGGATCCAGTAGCAAAAACTGCTCTCTGTCAGCGTGAAGTCTGTTGCCTACTTCACAATGTCACCTAGGGCACCCTGGACCAACTCACAATGTTACTGTGAGCCCTGCCCAGAAATAGGGTCGCAATAGGGAGTCAGGAATAGATGTGCTTCGAGCCCAGTGTGAATCAGCTCCGGCAAATGAAGCCAAGGCCTGAGAGTGTTGAGCTCCGAGCTCTGGAGGTTAGACTGTCTGGCACAAGAGGCCCTGGTTCCTGACGGATGAGGGACCCAAGAAGACAGAAGACCACGGAATCTGATCTGTATGTAGGCAGAGGCATGCGACTCAAAGCTGCCTGGGGTACCTCATCTACTACCACAGGGGCCAAGGCCACCTTGAACTGATTCCTTAGCCCTGAGCCCCAACCCGAAGGAGGTGACCAGAGAAAGCAGCGCAGCCCCTGAACTTCCTAAAAGCGCAGTTGAGACTTTCCCGGCCCAGCCCACAGGTGACTAGAGGGTCAGACCAGACGGAAAGGATCCGCCTATCCCAGCCTGGGGCTCAGAACGGCGAAGGCTGGTTCCCAAGGCCACGTGAAGAGCCCAAACAGGCAAAACTAATGCCAGAAGAAAGTTAAGATCGCCGGGACCTCTGCAACGCGGCTCTCCACTGCCACCCCCAAGTGCGGCTTTTGCAACAGCTGTCACCGCCGGTGCCAGCGGGACCTAATCCAGCCCGGCAGAGGTCACAGCGGAGGAGCGATGTCCCACCGCAGTCCTGGCAGGAGCCTAGGGCCGCCAGCGCCGCTGCTGCTGCTGCTGCTGCTGCCGCCGTTGCTGCTGCAGCTCTCTTGGGCAGCCGCTGCCGTTCAGTCTAGCACAGAAGGTGAGCAGAACCAGCCGCCGCCCCGTTCCCCCCACCCCGCCCCCCCAGCGCGCACCCGCTGCTGGCCAGACTTCCTGCAAGTTTTCAGCTAGGGGCATCTAGGGTTTCACTTCTTGGTGGGGAATCTGGTGGGTTGCGCTCCAGCCCTGACATAGATCAGCCAGAGATGAAATTTAAAGAGGAAACTAGGGGTCTGGCAACTTTAAAAGTTTTGGCCTGAATTCTTGGCACAGCCAGGGCAGATCCAAAGGGCTCCCGGTCAAAAAGGTCCTTTGGATGAGTATGTTTACCAAGATCTTTCAGAGGTGGGATTTGAGGCGGGCCTATATTCTGCTTTTAAAGGCAGACAAGCGATTTTGGCTTAAGAGAAACTGGTTTGATATGGGACAGGGACAGAACAGAAGGGAGAGATGCTCTTTCCTCCAAATGGCCTCATAATCCAAAAAAAAAGGGGGGGTGGATAAAAAAAGTCTCCATTCTACAGCCTGAAGAGCCGGGACTGGGAGGAAGTCGGGAATTTGCATAAAGATAAGACAGCTGGTTTGCCAAAGGGCACTGGTGTAACCCTTCCTGTCAGTAAGGCAGGTCTCAGCAGGCCTTCTCCAATCTTGCCCTTCCATTTGCAAGACGACAAAAATGAATTGTGGGTTATGCAGACTTGGAAGACTCCAAAAGTCAAATTCGGAGAGGATTGATTTGATTTCATGATCTTCTCTGCACTGACCTTGCCCAAGAATCGGGTGGGACTTGGGCAGGGTCTCTCTAACCAAAATCACTGTGATTCTTGTTGCCTTCCATCAACAAGGACCTGCACCCTGCGATTCTGAGGCGTTTGCTTTCAAACCAGGGCCAGCCATTCTTGTCTTGCGTCTTTCCAGTAAGCAGGGATCAGAGGCTCTGGTTCAGAATGCCTGGTGTCTACCCTGGTTTAGCTGTACATTCTTTGGCCTCCCCAACCACCATCACCACCACCACATCCACACAGACATACTACACACACACACACACACACACACACACACACACACACACACACACACACACCAACCACCCTTTTTAGTCCTGAGAAGTTGCGGGTTCCTTACTGAGGCCAGTGGTCCTGAAAGGCTCCTTCCTCTACGTGGGTTTGAGGATTGTTAAGGATACCTGCAGGAGCTATTTGAAACACATGTGATTTCCTTTGTTCCTCTTTATTTATCATCTGCTCACATTAATTAATGTCGGTTCTGTACTGGAGCTCCTCAACCTTCCTGGAGACTGCCTGAAATTTGAATCATAAAAATAAGGACTTTGCTATCTCCCCATGCTTCCTGACATACCTAGTTCAGTACTGTGAGCTTTGTCAGCCCTTGACCTATTTTTCCTGGGGAGAAGAGAACTAAATATGTATTCACCCCAGACAGGGCATCCCCTGAGCCATGTTATTGGTCCACTTCCTTTATTTTTTGAATTTGGGTTTCTTTTTATTCTAGAAATTGGTGAATTAATTTACCAATTAGCATACAGGTGACAGTATGACCTGCCCTTGAAGGCTAAAAAGCCCATACGTATTTTATATCCTTGTATGGTTTTACTGTGTGTGTTCAATACTTGGGGTTCAACCCAGGTCCCCATTAATGTTAAAACATTCCCTCTACCTTCGAGCCACCCCACCCCAACTCTTGCCATTCGAGAATAATCTTCCTAGTGGAATGAATGGCAAAGTCGGGTGGTCACTAGAGAGAGAGACGAGCCGACCTCCCTGAGACTCAGAATGTAGCACGTTCCTTGGTAAAACTAGTTCTTTGTCTGGCCATCAGTCTTGCAGGGTAGGACTCCAGAAGTCAATGCTTGCCAAATGTGATCAGATCTATGGGAGCCAGTTCACCCTGATACACACCCAAGTCTGTTCCCAGACTCATCGTTAATTATTCATTAGAAATATAACTGTCGGGCTGACTGGGTGCTCCTGTTTCAGGTATATTCTTCCTGCCACCAAGACACACGAGCAGATGTTGGGTTCTATGTCTGGGGGTCTGACTCAACCGTCCTCAGTCGGTCCTGGAATCAGCCTGTGGGCACACCTATCTGCGTAGCATTTGTCTGGCTGGGCCATCCAACTGAAAAGTAGGATCTGTTGGCTACGCATCAAAGCCTCACCAATGTACTCTTAATATCCTGGATGTCATTTCAGTCTCCTGAAGGTGTCATGGCTGACTATTGGTTGAGTCCAGTTTCAATGGATGCTTTCACTCTGAATTAACGACAGTGGCTCTCGTGGTTGCTCCATGGGCTTCTTTTTAGCATGGAAGCAATAGAAGTTCTTTATTTCCTTTTATTCTTTTAAAGACAGGGTGTCACTGTGTAGCCCTGGCTAGCCTCGAACTCACTGTGCAGACCAGGCTGACCCAGAACTCAGATCTCCCCTCCTCTGTCTCCTGAGTAGTGGACTTAAAGTCCTGAGCCACCACACTAGAATGGACTTCTTGTCCTTAAACTGTCCCAATGGCTCCTGTGTGCTGCATTTTTACCTTTAAAGTGTGGCTAATGAGTTATTGCTAGTGGGTTATTATGTTGCTTCTTTGTGCTAGGGCAAAAGAGGAACTTACTTAATATTGTTATAACAGAGATAGAGGTAGTGAAATTATGGGGAAATGTTTGTGTAAAACAAAACTTGTAACTCTGTGTCCACACTGTTCTAGAAGTCATGTGACATGTGCACGTCTTAATGGGAAAGTTGTAGAAAACTTTTGATTGACCTTTGATAGCAGAATAAACAAAATCCCCGAGAGACACTGTCCCGGCCTGACAGGCCTCCTCCAGCCTGGCAGGCGGGTGCTGCGGTGAGCACAACATGAAGGGTTGATTGGCTGTTTAAGTGTTATTCTCCTCTGAAAACTCAAGGGACCGACATCCTAGCTCATAATCTGAAGTCATGAATCAATATCCAGGGGCCAGTGAGATTGCTCAACCCGAAAGGCTCATAGGGCACGAGGCTGACCTGAGTTCCATCCCTGGGGCTCACATAAGGGTGGAAGGAGACATCTGACTCCACTCTCCACAGAGCTGTCCTCTGACCTCTACTGTGTGCCAAGACACGTGCACTCACGTGCATCAGTATACTGTGAATTCCATGTGAGTGTGTTCCCATGGGCGGCCTTCCAGTCTGGGCTCCAGTTTGGGATTTAGGTGGCCATGTAATCAAGAAAGAATTGTGCTAGGCCCGAGGGAGTGGATGTGATGATGGATGAGGCTCACCTCCCATGCTCAAGGAGCGTGTGATGGACATTATTGGACCAAATACAAGTATGTCTCTTAACAAGTGCTCCAAGTGAGCGGTGACTCAGAGTACCATATCTGCCAGGCATGGTGACACACACCTTAACCCAGGGCTCGGGAGGCAGGGAAAAGATGATCTCCACAAACTGAGGCCAGCCTGGGCTACACAGCAAATCTCAGGCCAGCCAGGGCTACATAGTGAGACACTTTCCCCAAAAGAGAATGTAGGGCTGGGGGGGTGCAGGGGTAACACAGGAGAAATCGGAATGAGGCCAAGTTGATGTTCAGGGGGTAAGGGCGATGGACCATTTGGATCTGAGAATTCTCCAGTTGTTTCCTGAATTGTGTTTTGTTTCTTAACTATTCTTCGGGGCCATTGATCGTTCGATCAGCGCCACACAGATGACCCCACTGTGCCTCACTTCAGCCCCTCTACCACAGGGGCATGCTTTCCACTCCAGAGCATCTCTGACCACAGACGTCAGCACAGGGGCCCTCAGAAGCCTTCCAGTGAGGGCGTTAACCCTAGGCAGGGCATCTCAAGGCCATGTAAGACAGCAACAGGCAAAGAAATGTGCCTTTTCCATCAATGTGTGCAGTTTTGTTTGTTTGGAGATGATATCTCACTATGGAGTCCAGCTAACCACAGACTCACAGCTATTCCCCTGCCTCGGGTCCCAAGAGCTGTGGTTATTACAGGAGTGAGCCACCGTGCCCTGCTGTCCCTCCCCCATCCTTGGGATGGAGTCTGCAGAAGTTTCTTCCGCACACTTCCTCAGCAGGGCCCGGTAAGATCACTCAGTCCACAGTTGGGAGACTCTCACTGGCTTCTCCCATGTCTTCTGTTCTCCAGGCCCCTCACTCTATTCCCAGGGTGAGCTTGCCCCAACAACCCTCCCCTGAGCCACAGATGTGGGCTTTGATGTCTGCACAGGGTCAAGCTGAACACCTACCATTATTTTGCCTGGACATTGCACAGCTCACAAATCAGCTACTTCCTTGGTGACCCTGATGAGGACTCAAGGCTAATCTAGAAGCCAGAGAGCGGTTTCCTGGGGGCTCTTGCAGGAGGAGAAGGTAGGAAGAGTGACCACACACAAGGTAGGAGCACCAGATAGAGGAAGGAAGTCTGAGGCACTCCAGTGAACCTGACCGCCACCCAACAGGGACAGAGTCAACCTTGTTATTGTTTTCTCTCACATAGCCTCCCCCCACCCCCAGACTCTTCTCTTTCTCCCTTTCTCGCTCTAAAAGATTGATCCAGAAGGCCAACACTGTCACCGAAGGTTAAAAGCCCTTCACTCTTCCACAAAATGAGATGCTAAGAAAGTTAGCCTCTAGATATGGGAGTGAGCCAGATGTGGTAGCTCACGCCTCTAGTACCAGCACTCAGGGAGCTGAGGCAGGAGTAAGTCATAGGTAAGTCAGCCCGGGCCACACGGTGAGTGAAGTTAGCAGGCGCTACAGAGGAAGATCCGGTCTTTAAAAAGCAAGTGGAGAGAGTGCATTTTGCAAGTGTGAAAGGTTAGGGTTTGTGTTGTTTGTTTTCTCAATTGAAAATAAGCTCCATAGAGAATAGTAAAGTGCACAAGAAATGTATTGAGGGCATTTGACGTTGGTTTCAGGAAAAATATGGAAGTCCCCCCCCCCCCCCAGCTTTACTAAGAAAAGAAAATACTCCCTGTAAGGCAACTTTTGTATTGCCTGACAGATGACCTGCAAGAGCCATTTTGAGTTTTGAGTGAGTTTATTAAGTGGTAAAAGGGTAAAAGTGGTAACACATCACCACATGGGGTGCCCAAGCCACCCTACAGGGACCACCTGGGGCAGCCCCGTGAAGGCGGCCAGCTAGAGCTCCCAGAAGAGTGCCAGGCAGACAGTGCCCACCGCTGAGGCCTCCATGCAAAAGGAGGAATAACTAACAGATGACATCATCAGCGTCCATGCTCGGGACTTGTGCAGAGACTAGCTGGGAAGTCGAGGCAGCACCTGGGGTTTACATTGGACTTTCTCTCTGTGGGTGAATATCCACGACCGAACTTCCAGCCCCCCTTTCTCACTGCAGGCACCTGTATGTCTTGGGACAAAGAACAGTGAAGTGACCTTGGTTGGATTCTGAGCTGTTCTGAAGAACACTGTTTTTTTATTCCTGTTTTTTTTTTTTTTTTTTTTTTTTTTTTTTTTGCTGTTCTCGGCTCTTCCAGCCCCTGTCACAGATGGTTTAGGGAACCTATCACCGAGACCTTGGAGGACTTTATGAGACAAACATGCTTGGTTCTGGAAAGAGGTCAGGCCAACCCCGATCCTAGGCTCAGCTCCTCAGTGAGTTAAGACTACACGGCAATTTAACAATATGACATACATTACAGTAGCATTTCAATGAGCTCAGATGTGAGTCGAGTATGTTGATTTTGAGGGTGTGCTACTAAACATGTCCGAATCTAATCTTTCATTCCCACAATTCTGAAGAGAACGCCAACACACCTAGCACTTGCCTCTTGGGCTAGATAGACAGAAGCAGAGCAGCAGCTGAGCCATCCCTCGGGCCTCTTATTTACGCTTGCAAACATAATTGCAAGATGTTAGGTCAACCTCTGTGAATGAACTAATGTTTGAATAAACCTGCTTTTCTTTAGAAGAACGAGCACAGAGCCCAGATTTGTATGGCCGAAGGGTCAGGAGTTCAAGGTCTTCCTGAGCTGTGCACAGAGTAGGGAGCCAGCCTGGGCTACATGAGACCCTGTCTCAAAATACTTAAGTAGGGCTGGCGAAATGGCTCAGCAGTTGAGAGCACTAGTTCCTGCAAAGGACTTGAGTTTGAGTCCCAGCACCTCTGGTGGAGGTTTGTTACCATCCTTAACTGCAGTTGAAGGGGACCCAACACCTTCTTCTGATCTCCAAAGGCACCAGGCATGGTACATAGTCATAAATGTGAGAAAAACACTCAAAATAAACCTTAAAAAAAATCACACAAACGAGAGTCCTCGAAGAAGCGTCATGTGGTGGGGGATGGCAGCGCTCAGCAGAGGTGGGCGGGCGTGACCTTCACTCTCAAGGAGCTGCTGAAGGCGAGGCTAGGGTGAGGAGGACACAGTATCTTCCCCCCCAGTTCACTTTCTCCAACATCTGCCCTGCTTAGAAATACTCAACAATAGACATGCATGATGAATTAACGTGCTAAGGGATTGATAGAAATCATAGGAAAGGTGAAGTCTATTGGTGTGGATCAAACACCTCAGATTTGGGGTTAGTTATGGATGCATGTCCTGTGGGCAGTAAGCTGTTTTGGGTGGATTCTCCTGAAGATGGGGCGTTGGTGTCTTCGTGTGGAGGTACGCTGGTGTCAGAGAAGTTGGCTTTTGTAGTCAGGGAAGTAGGTAGCTCCAGCAAGAGTGAACTGAACCAATGAATGCTTCCCTCAGTGTGCAGAGAAGGGCTTTGGAGAAAGATGCATATACTTGTGCTTAGAGGATAGAGCCAAAGGGGAAGAGACCTGTGGGCTTTTGTTTTATGGTTCCCATTTTTGTGATTTCTCCCAGCATCATTGTATGTGTGGGGAGGGAGGGTAAAGCCGGGCCTGCCCTGCTTCCTCATTTCTAGAGTGTGTACAGAGAGAAAGAAGCCAGGGTAGGGATCAACTATGGTTGGAGAACAGACTTTTTCTATTTGGGAAGGAATTCTTAAGTAAGATGTGTAGAGTTGTTAGATTACAGATGCTCAGCTTCTTTAACAGTTTTTTTTTTTTTTTTTGTCAAAATTAAGTAAGAGGGTGTGTGTGTGTCTCTGTGTGTGTCTGTGTGCTGTTGTTGTTGTTTTGAGACTGTTGTTTTGCTCTGTAGCCCTGGCCAGCCTGGAACTACAAGGCTGGTCTCAAACCTACAGTGATCCTCTACCTCCTGAGTGCTGGGATTACAGTCATATACAACCATGCCAGACACCTGCCAGGAACGTAATGCAAAAGTTCACTTCCATCCAAACTTCTGTAAAGGCCCTCTGCTTGCGTCTGACGACATATATTTGCAATTCCAGCAAATGGGATTCTAAGGCAGGAGGGTGGTGAGTTCTAGTCCATCCTGAGCTGCATAGTGAGTGTGGCTCAAACTGAATCAGCAACAACAGGACTCCCTCCCTTTCAGGACATAGGTCGGGTCAGTCTCAGCCTGTGACCCTGCTTTTCTTCCGGCATGGTGATTCTGACATATAGTCCAGGGTCCTAGCCAGGGCATGGTGCCACCGGTGGATGGGTCATCTCACTGCAGTTCATGAAATCAGAAAAATTTCCCGCAGGCAAGCTCAGAAACCCGTCTCCCGAGTGAGTCTAGATTCTGTCAAGCGGATAGTTAACGTTTACCACTACACAAATGCGCAATGCCACTTGAAAACTCCTTCCACAGCTGTTTACTGAGCACCTACTATGTGCTGGGTACTACATACGAGGAAAGAAACTGTCTGGATTTGAGGCTTTCACCATGTAGGATTAGGTGTCGGAGTGGGAACGATGGGTGCTGTGTGTGTGTGGGTGCATTGGTCCTGTGGGCACAGTGGCCCCTGTGTGTGTGTGTGTGTGTGTGTGTGTGTGTGTGTGGGTGCATTGGTCCTGTGGGCACAGTGGCCCCTGTGTGTGTGTGTGTGTGTGTGTGTGTGGGGGTGGGTGGGTGGGTGCATTGGTCCTGTGGGCACAGTGGCCCCTGTGTGTGTGTGTGTGGGTGGGTGTGGGTGGGTGGGTGGGTGCATTGGTCCTGTGGGCACAGTGGCCCCTGTGTGTGTGTGTGGGTGTGTGTGTGTGTGTGTGTGTGTGTGTGTGTGTGTGTGTGTGTGGGTGCATTGGTCCTGTGGGCACAGTGGCCCCTGTGTGTGTGGGTGCATTGGTCCTGTGGGCACAGTGGCCCCTGTGTGTGTGTGTGTGTGTGTGTGTGGGTGGGTGGGTGCATTGGTCCTGTGGGCACAGTGGCCCCTGTGTGTGTGGGGGGGTGCATTGGTCCTGTGGGCACAGTGGCCCCTGTGAGGCAGGATAGTTAACTGAGTCCTCACTAACCGTTTCTACACTGTTAGTCTGGTAGCAAGAGAAGGAATATCAGGAGGAAATAGTAGGCGCCTATCAGAAGGGCCTGCACAGTTCCTGGCAAGATGCAGAGCTGGATATGTGGTTTCTGGGTCCTGAAGTGCTTGGCACCAGGACAGGAAATGAATTGTGAGACCAAGAGGATGAACTGAAGAATTTATTTTTAAAGGTGTGTGTGTGTGTGTGGGTGGGTGGGTGGATGTGTGTTTATTTTGGGAATGCATCTCACTAAGCTGTACTCAACCTTCCAAATACTGGGAAGGCGGCAGGTGTGATCATGCCTGGCTTTAAATGGAAATCTTTGTCTCTCTCCCCTACTCTCTTGGTGTGTGTGTGTGTGTGTGTGTGTGTGTGTAAAGCCTGCAGTCAGCCTCAGGTGTCCCTTGGGATGCTGTCTACATTATTTATCTTACTACCCTGAGGCTAGCCTAGCCAATGAGCTCCGGACAACCAGTTCTGGGATTACGACACATTGTCACCACACCTGGCTTTTACTTAGGCTTGCTCAGCAAGTACTTCACTGACTGGGCCATATCCCCAGCCTGTGGGACAGAAATCGACAGAGACAAACACTGGGATGTCGGTTGCACAGGGGAGAGGCATGGACCGTAGTTGAGTGCGTCCCTCGTGGCTCCCTTTCCCTGCAGGCATCTACTATGCAACTGCATACTGGCTACCTGATTCAAAAACAGTGGAAGTCAAGAATGTCCTGGACAAGAGTGGAGATGCCTACGGCTTCTACAATGACTCCATTCAAACCACAGGCTGGAGTATCCTGGAGATCAGAGCTGGGTATGGCTCTCAGGACCTGAGCAATGAGATTATCATGTTTCTGGCTGGCTTCCTGGAGGGCTACCTCACGGCTCTGTAAGTATCCCATCCATTTGCTTTGTCCAGCAGTGGCTCCTGGACCCTGGAGTGATGTGTTAGGTGTGGGAGGTGGCTGGGGTGCACTTGAGAGTCTGTCAACACCCTGTGGCACCCATATTCACACCCACCCAGAACAGTCAAAGCACCCAGGTTGGGCATCCATTCATTCTTATAACACATCTTTCTTGAAATCTTCCACTTTCTTATTATTATTATTTAGGTGTGATGTGTGCGTCCGTGCGTCCGTGTGTGTGTGTGTGTGTGTGTGTGTGTGTGTGTGTGTGTGTGTACGTGCGCGCACACATTGGATTCCTTGGAGCTGGAGTTATAGGTGCTGGGAATTGAACTCAGTTCCTCTGTGTGACTAATATACTCTCTTGACCACTGAGCCATCTCCCCAGTCCTACCACCGTCTTTTTTAAGGCGAGGTCTCTTCACTGACCCTAGAGTTCGTCCTCATCATTTCCCCTACGCTGGCTGGCCAGCAAGCCCCCAGCATCCGCCTCTCTTCCTCTTCCCATCACTGGGGTTAGTCACATGCCACCACACGCAGCTTTTATGTTGTGTTCTGGGAACCAAACACAGGCTCTTTGGGAGAGTAGCCAGTGCCCTTAACTACTGAGCCATCTCTCTAGCTCCTGGAAAGATTTCCTAAATTTAAGGAGTGCATTTGTTTGATTTTAATTTTAAAGAATGGTGGCAGAGGTTTGCCTGGGGTGAACATTCTAGTTAGCCAGAGTTAGCCAGAAGAGTAAGTTACTGCAATTGTGAAGCCCAATAGGCACCGGAATGTAATGCATTTTACCTGTCCTTTCAGGCACATGTATGAACACTTTACGAACCTGTACCCACAGCTGATCAAGGACCCTTCCATCATGGATAAAGTGCAGGATTTCATGAAGTATGTATAAAAGTGTTCTCTTCTCATTGCTGGGGCTGCCCTGCAAACCCCTCCTTGCCCATTTCCTATGCTGTCTCTCAAGCAGAGCCTCTCCTGTTGGAGCAGGTCACATTTCTGTAGTGGAGTAAAACCTGTTGCAGTAATTTCAGCTCTTTTAGAGGTCATGTTGAATATCACATTATCAGTAGCTGAAATAGCTAGAAGCCATCTGCAGTGACTAACAGACAACGCCATATCCCCGAAGCCTCCCAAATGGATGTCCCTCACTTTCTTTCTAGGCCTCTTTCTGCTTCCTTAAGGAGTTTCTCTCTTATGCACCTTGCAGTTAAGTCTATCTGGGTGTTAGGGAACATGTCCCTAACCTGGAAGGTGGGATGACGTACAAGGATGTAGGCCAGACTGACCTCAAATTCACAATCCCCCTACCTCAGCCTCTGGAGTACAGAAATTACCCATGTTCCCAGTTCTAAAGTCAGACTTCTGGGGGTATTTCAATTTTACTTAAATATTAAATCAGTGGTCTGGCAGGAGAGTTATCTGGGGTCACAAAGGTTCTTGTGTAGTCTGTGGAATCACATATTAAACACACCATCTGTGAAAGGCTAAGATCAGGCAAGATTATGAGGCTGGATGGCCTGGGGTGTGCATTGGATGATCTTAACAGAGACACCCCCAAACAAACCAGAAATAGCTTTCTGTGTGAAAATTATGTCAGATCATTAAATCAGCCTATAGAACTAAAAGACATAAAAATGAAAGTACTATTAAAAATGAAATATTTGAGCTGGGCAGTGCCTTTAATCCCAGCATTCGGGAGGCAGAGGTAGGGGGATCTCTGTGAGTTCGAGGACAGCCTGGTCTACAGAGTGAGTTCTAGGGCAGGCTCCAAAGCTACAGAGGAACCCTGTCTCAAAAAACCAATAACAACAACAACAATCATATTTTAAAAATCGGAGCAAGGTGGCTCCCCAGTTAAGAACGCTTGCTGCTCCTGTAGATACCCTGGGTTAAGTTCCCAGAGCCCACTTGGTAGCTCCAGTTCCAGGGAGCTCTTCTGGCCTCTGCAGGCCCATAGACATATGTATAACTAGAAAACAATATCTTTCTTTTCTGAGAATGCTGGAACAGAAATGTTGAGGCAAATACCAACCTGAGATGGAGAGATGTGGGAGAGATGCAGAACCACACTTAAACGCCCTTGTCCTCAGAGTGTCTAACTTCAGTTCTACACACAAAAGTCGAGCAAAGCAGCCTGTCTTTCCTTATCTCCAAAGCAGTATGCTTTAGAGACTGCATAGTGACAGTCTGCACTTGGTTTTACAGGACAGCATCGCATGCCTTGTCCCCTAGATAAGGTCCCAAGAGTCAACATCCTGAGGTGAAAGTAGAAACAGCTAATGTGTGCTGAAACCACCTAAGTGGTGACTTAATAAAAGTTAGAGTTTAATTACACCAGCGTGTGCAGATGTGTGACTTCTAGACCCTGGTTTGATTTGGCTTTGAGTGAGCCTGCATGGAGATCTGTGTTCAAATCTAATTTCTCCCCCAGGAAGCAAGATCTGTGGACACGGCAAAATATCAAACAACACAAAAGCAACCCGTTTTGGAGACACATTGGCTATGTTATGGCCCAGATGGACGGGCTTTATATTGGAGCGTTGAAAAGGGCTTCAATGGAAAATATTAAGGTAGGGCTTCTCAAAGGTGCCCCAGAGTTTGTATGGCCTGAGTGGTGAAAAAGGGTATTTTAATCCAAGGCTAAGGCACTTATTACCTAGCATATCCGGGGTTCTATACCAAATGCCGTAAACAAAACAAAATAAAAATGTCTGAATCTATTTGCCCTTCTTCCAGAAATCCATTTAAATAAATCCAACTGACAAAACAATCAAACAAGCCAAATGTCAAGAGTACATGGCCAACCTGGGCTACTTAGTTGCTCCCAAGCTAGATGGGGCTACATAGTGAGGCTCTATCTCAACAAAGAAGAAGAAGAAAAAAAAAGCATTCCAAGTTAGTAGCAGATCAAAGTGGAACCAGGATATACATTCCTCACAGACAAAACACTGTTAAATCTATCACACTGTGACATCTGATTGACCAACACAATGTTTTGGTTCTAAACATAGTTTGTTTTTATTTTTTATTTTTCCAGCCTTTTCTATACACAGCTCATGGTGAGGTTTAAGAGCTAGTTACAAATGCAAAGGCTTTTTAGTTAACTTGATGGGTGTTTTAGTGTTTTAGATTACCTTCCTAGTAAGACAAAAATGTCTTAGTTTATAAATTCTGATTGCCACACCCAGCTATAATCACATAAACACATAAATGTGCAAAGCTATGTATATTCATTCTGAAAAGAAATTAAGAAACCTGGAAGTGCCTAAGGCACCAGCTGACATAGTTCCAAACATTATCGATATTTTGTTCCCATGGGGTAATATGTAGTGTGTGTGTGTGTGCACATAAGGCAAAATATTTGAAAAAATTTCACCAAAATGATGTTCATAAATGTTAATCATAGGAGATCACCCTTGCTCACAAATTAGAAACACAATGTAAAAAGCTGGGCATGATGGCACATGCCTAAAACTCAAGTCCTTGGGGTGTGGAGGTGGGAGGATCAGGAGTTCAAAGCCATGTTCTGGTTAGTTTTAACTGCCAACACAACTAAGAGTCACCAGGGAAGAGACTCTTGAGGGATAGTCTGGATCAGGCTGGCCTCTGGCCTGCCTGTGGGGGATTGTATTGATGGTCAGTTGAGATGGGGAAAACCCACCCTGAATGTGGGCAGTACCATTTGATGTGCTGTGCCCTGTGCTGTATAAGGTAGAGAGTACTAGCTGAGTAGGAAGTACACAAGCCAGGATGCATTTGTTCTCTCCGCTCTCGGCTGGGAAGTGTCTTGACCTCCCTTAGATGACCAGCTGTGACCTGGACTTGTGTGCCACGTAAATCCCTTCCTCCCCTGAGCGGCTTCTTATCCAGATAGTTTATCCCGTCAACAGAAATGAAACTACAGCAGCCATTTCCAGCTGTCTAGGGAATTAGAGGCCAGCCTGGGATACACGAGACAGTATATGTGCTGGTAGTTTTATGTGAACTTGACACAGGCGAGAGTCACCTGGGGGGAACCTTAACTGGAAAAGATCCCTAAGATCTGTCTGTAGCCAAGCCTGTAGGGCATTTTCTTAATTAGTGATTGATGGCAGAGGGCTCAGACCACCCTAGGCTGGCGGTACTGGGTTCTATAAGAAAGCAGGTTGAGCAAGCCATGAGGAGCAAATCAGCAAGCAGCACCCTCCATGGCCTCTGCATCAGCTCCCGCCTCCAGATCCCTGTCCTATGTGAGTCCTTGCCTTAACTTCCTTCAGTGATGGACTACGGATGTGGAAATGAAAGCCGCATGAACCCTTTTCTCCCGCATGGCATGGTGTTTTCATCTCAGCAATAATAACCCCAACTCTATAAGAAAGAGAGAAAGGAAGAAAAAGGAAGGGCAGGAAGAAGGAAGAAAACTAGAAACCATGCTGATGAATAGTTCCTCAGCAGTCTGATGTTGACAAGGGCACGGTCCTAAAACACAGGTTAGAATTTGTGTACTTTGTATGGAAATCAGGTATGCATGTGTCCTTTGACCGGGCAAGCTGCCTTCTATGGCGGCAAGTGCACAATGAGGCAGGTGTGCAGAGCAGCTCATTACAGGTCCGGAATCACAGCAGGACATCAAAACTCTGCAAATGTGGAGAGGGCCGACCAGTACACTTGAAGATCTGACAAACCCAGGGTCTGCTTGGGAAAAGCCTTGAGATCTGCTACTAAGTATAAAATCAGGGAAGATAGAGCATGCTGCCTTCTGAGGAAGATAAAGATGGATGGAAGGGTAGAGATTTACATAGATGATAGGTAGATCGATGATAGATAGACGATAAAGATTCTTCTGAGTAAGAATAAATAATGTCTAGTGAGAGGGTTAGGAATAAAATCTCTTGTTGCCAACTTGATGATCTGGGTTCAATAACTATGTCTACTCACTATAGTGGAAGGAGAGAAACACACACACACACACACACACCTTCCACTCCCTAAACACACAAAACTATAAAAATATAACTTAAACATTTTTAAAGAATAAAATGCTAGGGGTCTGCAGAGGTGGCTCAGCAGTTAAGAGCACTGGCTGCTCTTGCAGAAGCCATGGGTTCAATCCCCTATACCCACAATTGAGTTCACAGCATGAGTAACTCCAGTTCTAGAGGGTCTTGCGCCCTCTTCTTGTCTCCTTGGGTACTGCATGCACATAGTGCACAGCCACAGATGCAGACTAAACATCTATGCACATAAAGCAAACATAAACCTTTTAAAAAGAAAAAGAATAAAACCTGAAACTAAAGATAAAATCACCTATAAAAGAAGGAAGGAAAGAGTAAGAGAAGGAACGGAGGCAGCATCTCCTTGAATGGAACTTGCTTTGTAGACCCGACCTCAAAACTCACACTGGTCCTAATTATAAAACACAATTTAATGACAAGGAAGAGCAATCTCTTTCCTTAAAAAGGGGGAATGATGCAAACATATCTAACCTTTACATTTACTTCTTGTTTTACTCCTTTGAGATTATAGTATAATTGTGCCATTCCCCCTTTCCTCTGTCTAAACCCTCTCTCACACCCCTCCTTGCTCTCTTTCAAATTTGTGACCTCTCTTTTCATTAACTGTTGTTACATGCATGCATGTAACATATGCATAGATATCCCTACATACATAAGCACAGCCTGCTCGGTCCACCTACAGCACTTGTCTGTTTCAGGGCTGACCGTGGGCTCCCCTGCCCCCTGGGAAAGGTTGTTTCCCCCACTCCCAGCATATCCAGTTGCCTGTGTCCTTTAGTAGGGCGGAGGCTCTGAGGTCTTTCCCCATCTACTTCTACCCTTGGCATCCTTATTCAACTCATGCTTGGGAAGTCATGTTGGTGAGACCATGGGTGCAAGCTTCTGACATTCCTAGGAGAAACAATGTCACAGAAAACTCCATGCTTTTCTGGCTCTTACAGTCTTTACATCCGTTCCCCAGCACTGTTTCCTGAGCCTTAGGCACAGGAGTGTTTTGTAGATGCATCCCTTGGGACTGGGCTCCACGGCTCTATGTTCTGATTGGCTGTGGTTGATGTTACAAAGGGAAGTTTCCTTGACGATGGGTGAGAACTACACTTAAGCTTAACAAAACACTAAACTTTTAGCAAAAAGAAACTAACAGGAGAATTTAATTGTGTGTGGTGGTCCATTCCTATAGTTGTGGTGTCTTATCACAGCCATAGAAAAGTAACCAAGACAGCTTATGAATGTTTTACACACACACACATACACACGCACACGCACATACACTATGGAGATAACTCAGTGGACAAAGTGTTTGCTGTGTAATCCTGAGGACCTGAGTTCAGATCTCAGCATCCATGGGCTGAAGCCTCAGCACTGGGATGTTACTATTGATATCTGGGGAGTAGCAAGTCACTATGCTCCCGAGAACCCACAGAGCACCGGCCCCTCCCTGAAATAGTCTCCCTGCCCCAGATAGAATACTGCTGCACCCAAGGGAGTCCTGCCGAGAAACACCAACAGAAGCTCTGTTTGTTGTCTTCACCAAGGGCTTTCGCTTCCAGAATCTGTCCTGGCAGGACATGTTAACTTTGCTTCTCAATTATAAAGCCAGAACATTCATTTGTGAATTACAGTAACACAAAGTACACCTTTCACACTGTACAGCCTCCACATAATAATATAACGGAGCCTGGACAACAGAGAAGGTCAACGATGACATGTCATAAATCAGTGCTCATTGCTGTTGTGTGTCTTTTCACAGCCCATGACAATGTCCCAAATTCAGTTCCTGAATGCTGTTGGCGACCTGCTGGACCTCATCCCCTCTCTATCTCCCACAAAAGACAGCAGCATGAAGGTGTTTAAGAGATGGGACATGGGCCACTGTTCTGCTCTTATTAAGGTAAGACCCATAGCTCCTGTCTTCCCACCCACACAGACTTTTATTAGTATGTACTAATTATAATCTATAACCAGTTTCGCTAATCACATATTCAACACATATTTTTCTGTATGTCTGTCACCCAAGTACAGCAAACCTCTCCTCACCCCTGCGTGGCTGTGGACCACTGCATAGATCCTCTGTGATATTTAAGAACTAGGAGGAAGTCAGGTGGAGGGATGAGACATGATATTACCTGTTTCTACCACAATTCTGCCTGTGCCATTCCTACCTTCCAGATGTTTCTCTTTTACACTTTAGAAGGACAGTCTGTGTCACATACATTGAATGTTAATGTTGGATTCCCTTGGTCTTATTTTCCAATAACAAAGAAACCAAAAACAGCAGACATCACTCAGCAGGAAAAAAAGTCTCTTGCTGCCGAGCCCGATGGCCTGAGTTCAATACCTGAGACCCACATGTTGGAAGGAGAGAACTGACTCCCACAAATTGTCCTCTGACCTCCACATGTATGCCACGGCGCACTCAAACCCGCAGGAGTACATACGCAACACGCCCACACCAGTGAATAGATGTATTTTTAAGGAGACGGCCCCATAAATATGTCAACACAATCTGTGAGGGCCACCATGTGCTTTATGCACACGGTTACCATAAGCCTGCGCTGCTAACTATGGTTTTGACTGCAGGTCCTTCCTGGGTTTGAGAACATCTATTTTGCCCACTCGAGCTGGTACACATACGCAGCCATGCTGAGGGTCTACAAACACTGGGACTTCAACATCAAGGACAAAGACACCAGCAGCAGCCGCCTCTCTTTCAGCAGCTACCCAGGTAAATGAATTTAGTGCGAGCTCTGAGGGCCTTTTCGAAATAAAACTTTGATGATTTGAAGTTAGCTGGAAGGAGGGGCAGAATGTCCACCGCTGGGGTACAGTCGGATTTTTAGAGTGTGGTTTGAAGAAATAAAGTTGCCTTGTGTACTAGGATGACGTACGCGGGTTTACAGAGCTGCCAAGGGCTTTACAAATGTAAGTAGATGCGTCCTAATTTATCTGAATTGCCAAGAGAACACTCACATGTCTGCTTCCCAGGCTGTGTGGCGCTAGCAGAGGAACTCAGTCAGCAAGTCCTGCCTTCGGCATCTCCATTTCCCGAGTTCACAGTAGTGTGCCCAGTACTCCACCTGGAATGTGACCCTTAGTACATAGCTAATGGATGACTGCATGCGTAGACTCTTAGCCTTTGCACAGCAGTCCAGAAAGGCAGGAATTACAGGAATTACGGTATCACTGGACACCATAGGTTCTCTTAGTTACTTTTTCTGTTGCTGCAATAAAATGTCCAAACAGAAGAAACGTAAGGGAGAAAAGGTTTATGTTGGCCGACAGTTAAGGGTGTAGTCTGTCATGGCATGGACCTCCTAGAGGCAAGAGCTTGAGGCAGCTGGTCGTGTATCTTCCGTCAGGAAGCAGAAAGAGATGGACACTCCCATTCAGCCCTCTTTCCTGTTTATCCCGTCCAGGACCCAAGTCCATGGGAAAGGGGGCACTTGAGTTTAGGGTGGGTCTTCCTACCCCCACTAACCTAGTAAAATAATCCTGCACAGGCTTAGCCAGAGCTAATCTAGGTAATTCCTCACAGCTGTGCCCAGAGGCTTGCCTTCCGGGTGACTGAAGATGCTGTCAAGTTGACGATCAACATTAACCATGACAGCTCTAGAAAGTTTTGGGTTTTTTGTTTGCTTGTTTGCTTGTTTGCTTGCTTGCTTGCTTATGTGCTTGTGTGTGGGGGCTTGGTTTTCCAAGACAGGGTTTCTCTGTGTAGACCTAGATGTTCTAGAACTCACTTTGTAAACCAGGCTGGCCTTGAACCTCACAGAAATCCGCCTGCCTCTGCCTCCTGGGTGCTGCGATTAAAGGCCTGCACCACCGCTGCTGCCCAGCCAGCTGTAGAAGTTTAATAAACATTAGAAGTAGCCCAACGAGGGAGAGCACCGTATCTGCTTGGTAGGGAGAGATCAGTTTACCCTGGAGATGAGTTGTGGCTAGAATTAGAACAGTGGACAGGGACAGGAGGTCTCTGGGAGGAGGGCTAGCGAATGCCAATGCCTAGGGGACACAGTTGGGGACTGTCAGTGAGCGAAGGCAAGGGGAGACAAAACAGAGAGGGCACCTAAGACTACATAGTGAAACCCTTTATCAAGATAGACAGCGGGAAGGAGGAGGGAGGGAGGGGGAGGGAGGGAGGGAGGGGAGGGAGAGAGGGAAAGGCAGGAGGAGGGAGGGAGGAGGAGGGAGAGAGGGGGAGGGAGGGAGGGAGGGGGAGGGAGAGAAGGAGGAGGGAGGGAGGGGGAGGGAGAGAAGGAGGAGGGAGGGAGGGGGAGGGAGAAAAGGAGGAAAGAGGGAAGGGGAAGGAGGGAGGGAGGGGGAGGGAGGGAGGCAGGAGGGAGGGAGGGGGAGGGAGGGAGGGGGAGGGAGGGAGAGGAGGGAGATGAAAGAAATGAAGGAAGAGAGAGAGGAAGGAAGGAAGAGGAAGAAAGGGAAAGAAGAAAGGAATGAAGGATAGATACACAGCTAATGAGATGGCTAGTTGGCAAAGGAGCCTGCTGCCAAGCCTAAGAACCTGAATTTGATTCCCAGGACCCTCATGGTAGAAGGAGAGAACTAACTTCTTCAAATTATCCTATGACCTCCACACACCATATGTTATATGCTCCCACATACGGTAAATTACGTTAAATGTTTTTAAAAGAATACGTAAGTCAATACAGATAGAGACGCTTATAAATCAACCGAAACTCCAAAGGCAACAGAAGTCTTTTGGAGGCAAAGTCTTGCTGTGTGGCCAGTCTGTCTGTCCTCCAGACCTCTGCCCCGACTCCCTAGCCATTACCCCTTCCCCTTGCGCCACCACACCCAGGACAGTGGGCATTTTCATCCTGCAGGCATTTTTTCCAGGAGCCTACAGAGCAGTGTAACCCATATTTCCTCTAACAGACAGCTGTTTTCAGTAGGGACTCGAAGACTGAACTGCAGACAGCTGTTGATTAAGGGATCGGCCATGCTGGATTTATACAGTAGATGTGGAGCCTAGCTTTGACTTGGAGCTCGCACCATGGGGTCTGGTTTTCTTCTCCTCTATGGAGAAGCGCCATGGTGGCCGGCTGGAAGAGAAGTAGGGTGTCAGTTTGGGGTTGAAGGGCTGTGATCTAGAAGCTCTTCACAACCTGAGTGAGGGTGTTAAGATTCCCTCAGTCAATAGTTCCGTGCAACATGTCACACTTTTGAAATTTACGAACAGTAGCTCTTACATGTTCTTCCCATGTACACACACAAAAAGGTGGCTGTGTGAGCTCATGGAGGTGCCGTTTGGCTATTATACATATGCATTCTGTATAGATTACTTAGTGGTTAGAGCACTCACTGGTTTTGTGGGGACCCAGGTTCAAGTCCTAGTACCTGCACTTGAAACTGTCACTTCAGCTTGGGGGATATAGTGCCCTCTGGCCTCTGCACCTGTACGCGAGTGCTACATATAAACTCATGAAGGCACACACACAGAAAAAAAAAGATATTTTTTAAAGCATGTTAAGCCTTGAATATATACAGGCTTGATTTGTCAAGAATGCCATAGTAAAACTTGAAGGTGGAGATTAATTAGGATATAAGCAAGCGACCTAAGGTGATAATAGTTCAGATATTTATATTAAAATTAAACAAAAGCAATATAAAATTTTAAAAACTCCTGAGTCAGAACACAGCATGCATGGAAAGGACAATCTGGGCCCCTCCTCCTGCGGATCGGCCATGTTGGACATTTCATATGTTCATTGCACAATGCCCTATGCTCCTGACCTGGGGTTTAAGTAGCTGCTGGATGACATGGAGCTAGGTACGGTAACTCATCTGCAATCTCGGCACTGAAAAAGCAGAGGCAGGAGGATTGCTGTGAGTTTAAGGCCGGCCTAGGCTGTGTAGTGAAACTCAAGATGGGAAGGAAGGTGGAGAGGGAAAGAAAGAGAGGGAGGAGAGGGGAGGGGAGGGAGGGGAAAAGATCACTATGAGAAAGTCGAGATTCTGCCGTGATGTGGTATGTAGTTCTCTCTCTCATGGAATCCTGACATGTGGGAAAATGAGACCGAGGATCAGAAGTTGGAGGATACCTCTGTTCACAGTGCAACCCAGCCTCAGACAACTATTAGCAATCATTTTCCTTCAAGTTTCCAGGCTTGAACGCCTGGTAAGCTGCGCCCAGCGCTCCTGCCCTACTGTTTTAATGTTATGAGCTTGAGTTTTTCTCAACAACAGCAGCAAAGCAGGGCTAACATAATGCCACACATCAGAGTGCATTTATTCATCACTGGTTTTCTATTAAATTGTTTTTATTTTTATTTAATAATTATTATTACATTTTTGGCAAAATATTTATGATAAGGAGCTGGAGAGGTGGCTCGGCAGTTAGCACTTGCTCTTGCAAAGGCCCTGAGCTTGATCTCCAGCACACACAGGGTGGTCCACAGCATCTGTGCCACCCATCCCAGGGAATCCAATGTCCTCTTCTGCCCTTTCCGGCCCCGGGCACACATATGCATATCCACATAGAACAATAAAATAAATCTTAAAAAAAAATTATGATGGAGAGCAACAAAGACACAATGTTAAATAGTACAAAATGTGCATTCAGGTGACGCAAAGATGAAATTAAAATAAAAAATACAAAGACAGCGACAAGCAGTGGACTCGACAGAGGTACTCGCTACCAAACCTCAGGACCTGAGAGAGCTTCATCCTCAGGACCCACGAGGTGGAAAATAAAGTAGCTCTTCCTTTAATTTTAATGTTATGTGTATGTAACACCTGTGTATGGGCAGAAGAGGATGTCAGAGACCCTGGCACTGGACTTGTAGGTGATGGTTGTGAGCCACTGTATCTGATCGGAACTGAACTGGGGTCCTCTACAAAAAGCAACGATTGGTCTCAACCACTGAGACCTCTCCAGCCCCTTACATATTTTTTAATAAAATAAAATGTGAATTGAAGCACAAAAGACAAGCTAAATTAGCCATGCCCTGGGGAGAAGTCAGCAGGACAATGCTGTATGGGAACAAATGTTGCACAGGGTGAGAGGGCGCGTAGGTGAGGCCAGGAAGAAGGGGGCGGGGTCAGTGCAGGACCCTTAAGACGACAGCTAAGAGTGACAGACAAGCACAGAGCTTCACTCCAAAACATGTAGCTCGTCCTCTCAAGGAGAACTAGAGAGCTAACGTGAAACACAGAAAGCCGTGCAGCCTTCCAGGGAGCCGAAACCACACTGATGCTTTACAGTGACCAGTCTATGTACAGGTAGACACAGATGTCCATCTTCCAGAAGGACACGGAATATCAAAAGTGCTGTCACTCATCATGGCGTTACCAATGCCCTTTGTCCTAGCTAGCCAGAATCCTGTCAATTGAGAGAGAGAGAGAGAGAGAGAGAGAGAGAGAGAGAGAGAGAGAGAGGAGAGAGAGAAGAGAAGCTAGAGAAAAGGATCCATAGGTGGGTAGTAAGGGCCCGTATGAGTTCCTCTCTGCACACAGGTGCCTGTGCTAGCCCAGCCAGTCATGGCCAATAGAAGGAGATATAGACATTTCCTAGAAAGGTTGTTTCTATGCTAGACACCAATCAGGGATATATGATGTCTGGCATGATCTACCTGTCTGGTCACAGGGTGATGGAGGGAGACTTAGATGATTTTAAGGGCGGCATTTCAAAGTCAAGTAGGTGTGTGTATGGGTGGGGTGGGTCTTCAGCCCAGAGCTAAGGTTAGTGTTTAGGTCAGCAGTATTGGACGG